GTCATCAAAGTGGACACAGTGGGCAGAATTTGTCTCACCCAGCTGCGCTCCCAAGGGAACGCAGCCCAGGTTGCTGTAGGTGTGGAACCATAACTTTTCTTATCCTGCTTCTTGCTCTGGGGACCTTAATCTTATTGGCCCATGGGCTCTTAAGATGGGGCTTTCCAGACTTCTTCATCCCAGCTCCCTTGCTCTGGTCTCCTGATAGCCTTTGGTTTTGAATTCTCAAATCTACTAGTCTCAGGCTGGGGGATGTAGCTCAGTAGGCAAGCATTTGCCTAGCATGCACTAAGTCCTGGGGTTGATGTTTAGTACTACATTAATGGGGTGTGGTGGCACACACCTGTAATCTTAGCACTTAGAAAGTGGAGGCAGGAAGATCAGAAGTTCAAGGTCATCCTCAGCTATGTAGTGACGTCCAGATCGGCTTGAGACAGATACTTTATCTTTAAAAAAAAAAGTCAGCTGGATGTTATGAAGGCTGGGCAGTGTCTGTCTCACTAATTACTGATTTCCCATACTGAGTGAGTGTCTGATGCATAGAAGATACTGGAACAAATGTCCAAATAAATGGCTGGTGAACATAATGATACCAGAAGCTAGCATTTAGTAACTGTTCATTTGCACACAACCCTGTGAGCTGGGGACCATCATCAATACCCCCATTTTACTGGCATTCAAAACTGAGCCTGAGTCCTGGTAAGGGACTGTGTCGCTAACAGCAGTGTTAGGAGGAGGATGACAAATGCTCACAACATGACAAGCAGAAGAGTGTGACAGCAAATGCTATAAATTTCAGTCTGACACTTCCTTTTGAGAACTAGTTCATTCATTCATTCAGTTGTTCATTCATTCATTCAATAATTATCTATTAAGCTGCAGCCCTTGTGCTGGGTATTGGTAGGTAGGGGGAATGGGGTGTCACACATGCAAACATGGGGTCACAGCCAGCATTGGGAAGGCCAAGGGCCATCATGGACCAGAGGAATTTCCTGAGTCAACTGCAGCAACTGGGGGCTGGGCAGACTGGTGGTGAAATGCTTAGGGTACAGGTAGCAAGTGGCTTGATAGAAGTGGCACCAGGCCTGGCACTAACACCATATCTCTGAAGGGCTTCTGGCCCTCTGTGGGGGCCTGTCCCAGGGAAGCCTTTGAACCAAGGACATTCCCACTACCCTGGACCCAGGAGAGCTCAGTGACAGGCAGATGATCCAGGCTAGTTCAGGCAAAGCTAGGCATCCTGTGGCCCACAGCCTTTTCTCTTCTGTGGGATTCAGTTTACTCATCTACTGAGCTCAGTGGCCCCATGCATTGCTAGAATTACTGGAAGGAGCTGCAGAGCCTGGGGTTTGTACATTTGAAGCAAGGCTTAAAAAACTCAGGGCATTCACTGACCTTTGACTCATGGGTCGCTTCCTTTGTCCCTCTGACAGGTATCTGGAAGAGGAAGAAGAGAACTGTGGCTGCATCCCCACCTAGGATCATGATTGCTGAGAGAAGTGGGAAGCTTACCTCTAAACCCAGCATTCTCTGGAGCAGGATGCCACTGACAGGAATACACCAAAGGTCCAGGGATCTGTTTCTGCAGCAGTGGTGACAGGCTGCAGGAGCCCACTCTAGAGTTTAGCCACCCCCACTCTTCCCAGCACTCCTTGGGGCAAGAGGCTAGATGTACCTGTTGTGGGGAGGAAAAGCCCAGGACTTTCCTCACACCCCTGGTGCACTGGAGCTGCTTTCCACCCCTGACTTTTGGTCTCTACTCAGCTCTTATAGCATCTAGGATGTAATCCAAAGTTTCCCCAATAGTCTTAAAGATTCCTGCCTTGCAACCCCTCCCAGCTCATCTCTTTCAGTTTCTAGAGGATCCTATCTCTTACCACAGGTCTTTACATTTTAAAAAATTACTCTTATATATATTTTTTTTGGGGGGGGGAGTTTTGCCATGGTACAGGTGTGGCGGTCAGAGGACAGCTTGCAGAGGTCAGTTCTCTTTCTACCATGATGGTATTAGGGACTGAACTCAGGTCATCAGCTTTGTGGCAAGTGCCTTTACTGGCTGAGCCATTTCATTAGCCCCACCCCACTGCAGGGCTTTTGCCTTTGCTTCTTCCTTTAACTGGAAGGCTCTTTGTTCTGACCTTAGCTTGGGGGCTCTAGGGCATCTGTCATTTAGGTCACCTCTCCAAGTCTAGCTCCTCAGAGGAGCCTGTCTGACCCCTAAAAGCTGTAGCTCCTTCCCATATTATTTGCTAGTACAGTACTGTTTCCATCATGACCCTTCCCAAAACTGTGATGACTGGCAGTTGGTTTGCTTGAAGGCAATTTACCCCACCCACTGCCCACCGGTCTCCATCAATGTTTGCTGAATGGATGAAACACACAAAACAACCACCAAAGCTCATTTTCCTCTTTTAATACTTTGCAGACCCTATGAAGTCAGCATTTATGGGGTGCACCTGCTATATCCCAGACAGACCCTCACATTTAGTATCCTTGAATCTATCCATGACATGCTGCCTACTCTACAGATAATGAAGTTGGGGTCACCCAGCAAAGGTAGACTGAGGGTTCATTCATCGGAAAGCAGTCAGGTAGAACCTGGCAGCATGGAGCACACTACAGCAAACTGCAGTTGGGATTCGATTCAAGTCCAAGTCTGTTTGACTCTGTATAAACTCATCAGCCATACCTGACCTCACTCCAGGACAGACAAGCAGGTGTTTAGATTCTGAAAGGCAGGCAGAAACCTAGACTGGTGGAGAGGTGGTCTGGATTAGTGGTGATTTAGGTGGGTTCAGATGAGGATCCTGTCACCTAAACAACAGCAATAGGATGGGCTTGCTCAGTGATCGTTAGCACTTCCAGGCAAAACTACTCTCAGGAAGGGAGCTAGCTAGAGGGATACATGCATACAGGAAAAGTCAGATGGAAGCCCCCAGATCTCAGGGAAGGTCATCTTTCCATAGTACCTTCCCTGCTCTGAGCCATGGTGGAATCTAGGTTGGCCTGAAATTCACTATGCAGTAGAGACTGGCCTTGAACTCACTGTCCCCTGCCTCTTCTCCCTGTACCACCATACCTAGGTCCCAGTGGTCACTGCTTTAAAGTGGGTATGGCAGCACCAATCCAAAAAGAGATCTTGAAACGATAAAGAGAAATGACTGTGGAGTTGTTGGTGTATATAAAGTAACATGGAAATGCAAATTAGCTAAAAATAATCTATGTGACATGCAGAGAGGTTGGAACTTGGAAGACCCCTTTGGTTCTTCCAGTATATATTGGCACCTACTGTGTGCCAGCTGCTGTGCCAGGGCCTGGAGATTCAGGGATGAGTCAGATACAGACCCTGAGCATCTGGGGCCCCCTGTCTGGGGGGTGAAGTGAGCATAGCTCCCTCTTGAGAGGCAAAGGCCTGTGCATGAAATGATGCCAGGCAGAACTGTGCAGAACCCACTCTTCCTCTCAACCTTGAGCAGATCAGGTCACCTCTCCAACCCCAAACCTTCCTAAGATGGGGATGGCTTTGCATCTGCCAGGGCTGGGCACCCAGTAGCCCCATGGACTCTGAGATGGGTACCTAGTAGCTCTTAGGCAGAAAAATGGTCCTGTACTGGCCAAGATCTGGGGCTCAATTCCTGAGTCTGGGGCATGTGCGGGTGGCCCCGAGGGGACAGCAGGGAAGGCAGTGCAGCACTCATGCCCTGATAAGAAAAAAAAAAAAAAAAAAGGGCAGAAAACCTGAAGAATCGGTTTGTGCCTTTATTTAGGCTTGTAATTTCAAGAGGGAGGGAGCCAGTTCTATCCATGGTCAAATCTACTTAGGTGGGAGGGGGATGTCAGCAAGGAATTCTAGGCCAAGGTGCACCCGGGAAAGCCACGCTTCCCAGCAAGGTTTGTGGGTGTGCCAAGGTCTTCAGAGGCACTGTAAGGTTGGCACTAGGGAGGCCACAGGACAACGTGACTTCTGTCAGTCCTGAGGCTGCCCCAGAGCAATGTCACCCCTCCAACCCCCTCAAAGGCTGGCCAAACTTCGGGGAATTCGGATGAAGGTAATGGAGAGGAAGTTTGGGAGCCCCAAGCGCGGCGGCTTGGGGTTCCCCGGGGGACCCACACTACTGTTCTGAAACCCAGCTGACCCAAGAGAGGTCAGGCCAGTTCCGGGAGCGAGGGAGAGGAGCCTGCCCCATACCTCCGGGGCTGGGCTAAATCCGCATAGGAGACCGGGAAGCCCACACGCGGGTCGCTGGGCCAGGGTCTGAAGCCCTACTCCCGGTGGGACAGACAGCCCGGTCCCGGCAGAGCGCGGCCTTGGAGGCTGTGGGCCGGGCGGGCCGGATGGAACGCGGTCCCTGTCCCGGCGCAGCGCGCCTGCTGCCCCCTGGGCCGCTGCGGTACGGCGGCCCCCGTGCCCCCAGGGACCAGGCCAGGCGGGGGCCGAGCCAGGCGCGCGGGCGCGGGAGGGAGGGGGGCGGGCGGCTGCGCCACTCTAACAGGTGGGATCCCGCGGCGTGGTGGAGGCGGGCGCGGGAGGAGGAGGAGAAGGAGGAGGAAGAGCAGAGGCTGCGGGAGCCGGAGCAGGATGAGCCGCACAAGCTGACAGCCGCCGCTGCCGCCCGCGCCCAGGCTTGGTCTCGCTCCCCGCGCCCG